AGCACCTCCAGCACCAGCAGGAGCACCCATGACTCCACCGCCATTAGGACTCGCAGCACCCCCAGTGTCAGCACCCCCAGAACCGGCACCCCCAGAACCAGCACCCCTAGACTCAGCACCCCTAGAGTCAGCAACCTCAGGACCAGCACCTCTTGAGTCCGCACCCCCAGTGTCACCACCCCCAGCAGCACCAGAGTCCACAGCGACAGGCTGAGGAGGCGGCGAAGACGGCCGAGGCGGAAAACCAAGAGGGGTCTCCAAGCGCGGGGAGCGGCGAGTTGTCGCCATGTCGTCAGCAGCGGGGTCATCCCCCTCAGCTGGGCCAGAGGTGTCAGAGGAGACCTCCAAAGGCTCAACCAAGGGGGGTGGGTCGACCTGAGACAAACCTGAGGGAGCAGGACCCTACGGGGGGAGGGGGTCTACCGGGCGGGGGCCCTTGGGACCAGGAAGAGGGGTGGCGGGGAGAGTGGGGAAGACGTGTGCGGGTGGAGACGGTAGAAGCAGACCGACTCGTCAAAGGTGACGTCCTGTGAGGACAGGACGCGGCGCGAGGCAGGGTGGTAAAACTGCCAGGGCGGGGCGTCGATGGGGAAGCCAAGGAAGCCGCAGCGGAGAGTGCGACGAGAGAGCTTGCTCGCGGTGGTATCGCGGACAAGGGAGAGCGCGCCTCAGACCCAAAACGCAGACGCATCGCCAACCTCCCCCGTCCAACGGTGTAGGCGAGGTCTCTGGCACAGAGACACGGGGCCAGAGGTTGAGTTGATGCGCGGCGTATCGGACCGCAAACTGCCACCGAAAATGGGGAGCAGCCGCATGGATCATGGAGGTGAAGCCAATGCGACGCTCAGCAATCCCATTCTATTGTGGAGAGGCCGGAAGCGTGAACGACTGGGCAATGCCCTCCGCACGACAAAAGTCCCGAAGGAGGCCGGAGGAAAACTCACCACCTCTCTTAGAGTGCAGTCGCAGGACCTGGAGGTCCTGCTCAAACCGAGCGCTCAGCTGGCGACGAACAGCGATGATCCAGTCGATCAAAACACCTCAGACATCCGCCATGCTCCGCAAGGGGAAGACCGTGGTATAGCGCTTGTAGTCGTCAACAACCAGCAGAAATTAGCGCTCTTGGTCCTGTCCATGGACGCGGGCTGGGCCCCATACGTCCATGTGGAGAGTCTGCAGAGGAGCAGTGGTCGGCGGAAACGAGGAGGACTGAGGAGCGGCGCGCTGCCGCCCCTTCACGCAGGAAAGGCACGGTGGTGCAAGCGAGCGCGGGAGCGGGGGAAGGGACCTGGGGAGGCCAGAGACAAGGAGACCCGAGTGCATGCCACGCAGGCGCGGCAGGGAGGGGTGACCAAGACGGTGGTGCCAGAAGAGAGTCTGGTGCAAGAGTAGCCGGCACGAACAAGACGCAGCTAACTGACCCGACGCAGCCACCTGTGCAGACGTAGCCACCTATGCGGACTCACTGGTCAGTGTGTATAGGCTAGTCCCAGGCCTCCGAGTGAACGTGGCGAGGTGCTCGCCAGCGCGGGAGTCCGAACAGATCGCCACACGCTCACCTCCAGGAGTAAAGGTACTGACCAACTCGTTCTGGAGGACAGCGTTACTCACCAAGCTCTTAGAGAACGAGGGGATGTGGAGACCGGACAGAGAACCGGAGGGGACTGCCGGCCAAAGGAGCACAGTGGAGGCTCGTGCAACGATCGGGCCCCCAGAGGGGTCAGCCAGAGAGATTGGGACAGGTGCTGTGAGCGGTGTGACTGTGGTGCAATCGCAAAAGAAACAGCGAGACGCGCCTGAGTAAAGTGTGAAGGTGTGCAAGGCCTCAGCAGAAGCAGTACCTGCGGCAGCAGACTCACAAGCACCTAGAGCAGCAGCCTCTACACCAGCAGCGCGCGGCACACACTAGCAGCACCAGCATACATAGCATAGATTCCAGCATTGATCTTTTCAAAGTCAAGAGTAAACACATCTACCCCCTTCCCTAGCAATACCCCCTTCCCTAGCAACGCTAACCAGTTGGGGGGATACAGCTCATCTCCAAACTCGGTGCGCCAGGCATCCTCGAGACGACAGAAGCAACGATACTCAGTGTGCCCAGTCTTCCCGCAGAGGTCACCAGCCCTGAGACCCGTGCGCTTGACGTACGGGCAACGAACATTAGCCCCAGTGGAGCCATGCTGAACCACCCACTCACGAAGCTCCTGAGGGTTGCGCGGCTCCTGCTGGCGTGGCTGCTGCCGCTGTCCACCCCCCAGTGCCTACGGAGTGAACCGCTCTGAAACCATGTCAGAATCTATGAAACACGAATGAGTGTGATTAGCAGGAATGAGGTACAAGTATGGAACCCTAACGTCATCGCCCGGATATAAGACATGTATGTCTTATCTTATACACTAGTAAAAATGCTTGGGTTGTCTTGTATTTGGGACGGTTTAGGGTGTCTTATAAATCTTATAAATGGAAAAAAAAAAAAAAAAACTTTGTAACATTTGCAAAGCGTGTAGAAACCACCTGGGGGCCAGATTCATTGAATTCGGGGGTTCACGGTGGTGATTCATGCGTCACCACCGCATGTCACGTGAGGGATGCAGCAAAGCTGCCTGTGCTGGCAACATCCCTCTGTGCTGGCAGCATCCAATGATGCTGCCAGTGTCGTTTTGCAGCCAGCAGCGCATGGATGCTTCCAGAACGCTGCTGGCAGCACGATGGCAGCGTGAGGGCTGTCATGTGCTGTCCTCTACGAGGAGATTCCTCGTAGAGGAGCGGCTTGGCAGCCTTTGGAAGGGGCACTCTGGCTTGGGGGGGGTTGTCGGCCTTGAGCTTCATTTTGAGCTTCATTTTGAGCTTCGTTTTGCTCTCGGCAGGCTCAACCATGCGCAGGAAAATCCCTGTTCCCCCGGCCTCCCCTCGCCCTCACTTCCAGGTTAACAACTACGGGCGATTTAACTCTCCCGGAGATGACATCCGTGTAGCTATGGCGAAGGATACGTGCAAGGCGGGATGCTCTACCGCCGCCTCAGGTGCGAGCTGTGACGAGGACGACGGCGAAGAAGAACACGGCGACGACGGCGAGGAGGATTGGCCGGAGAACGGCCACGACGACAGCGCGACGGGGGATGACATCAACGCTGGCGACATTAATGACGACGAATGGTGGAATCGGCCGGTTGGCGAGGACGACGACGTGGAAGAGTGGCGAGCTGGTGACTCGGACAACGACGTAGCTGCGACAGCGGATGCGGATGCGGATGCGGACGGCGAAGCGGAAGCGGGAGCGAGGACGGATGCAGAGGCGGAGGCGGAAGCCGATGTGGACGAGGAGGCGGAGGCGGCCGAGGATGTGGAGGCAATTGCGACGGCGTGTGCGGAGGCGGAGGAGGATGCGGATGACGCGAAGGCAAGTGCAGAGGCGGTCTTCTTCCACGGCGAAGAAGAGGGAGGTGCTGACCCGTGGCGAATCATGTCGGACGACGACGTGCCTCTGCTAAAGCGGAGGCTCCGTCTTCGCCTTCAACCCAACAAGAGGAGATCCCGTGTGGTGCTCTCCGATGACGAGAGCTCGGGGGAGGAGCGTCGACCGCGCCTCACAGCTGCAGACAAGGGGAAAGCGAAGGTCGCGGAGGTCCCTGCTAAGGCCACCGTGCGTCGCCGCACAAGCAAGAAGAAGCGGAAGGACGACGGCGACCCGGGTTCCAGCACGGGTGCTGCTAAGAAGAAGAAAAAGAAGACACCAAGCAAGGACGACATAGTGGTGAACGAGGCGCTCGGCAGCGACGATGAGTACGCGGAGGCTGCAAGCCCGATTCCTTCATTCCCTGAGAAGGCGAAGCCGAAAGACCCCACCCTCCGTAATCCCAACACCCGTCCCCCTTCCCCTCGCAGCAAGGATACTAAGAAGAAGAGGCGCGGATGGACCGTACGCGAGAAACTTAAGTGGGCGCGCCGCTACAAGGAGCTCGGCTCCCTCAAGAAGACCTCCGTGGAATCCACTGCGTCCATCGCCTGCATCAGACGCTGGAGCATTGAGGCTGCAGCGGGCCTTTACAAGGGAGCGGCGAACTGCCGCAAGCGGATGCACGGGGCGGGCCGCCACTCACACTACCCCGACATGGAGGCGGCTTTGTACCGCTACATATGCCTGCAGCGCGCGAATGGGGTGGCGATCACGGTGAAGGACACGCAGAAGTGGAGCCGCGAGTGGATGAAGAAACACCACCCCGGGAAGAACTGGAACGCGAGCTCGCACTGGAGCCAGCGGTTCCGTGACCGCTGGAACTTGGTCATGCGAGTCAAGACCAAGGTCGGCCAACGGTTATCGGCTGGTGAGTGGTAGAGGGAGTGAATCCGCGCTTGAGTCTTCCCCGTATGTGCCTATATCTCCAATCACCTCTCATATATGTACCCATCCCCTCCTGCTGGGTGTTGTTTTTCTTGCGCAGAGTGCGCTAAGGACTGCGAGTCCTTTTGGAAGTTCGTGCGCATCAACCGGGTTCGGCACAACATCGACCTGGCCCACATCATCAACGCGGACCAAACACCCCTCTTCGTTGAGATGCCGGCCGAGAGGACCATCGAGCACCGTGGCGCGCGCTCAGTCCCAATCCGCACGGCAGGGTATGAGAAGACACGGCTGACGGTGATGCTCGCGTGCACCGCGACCGGGGAGAAGCTGCGCCCGTGGGTGTGGTTCAAGCTGAAAAACGTGCCGAAGTGTGACATTCCGGACGGTAAGCTAAACGAATTCTGGTGTCCTTCTTGCCCTGATTGCCCTACTTGCTGTTGGTGTGAGCTCGGCCTACTTGTCTGACCCCTCTCTCTCCCCACTGTGCCTGGCAGGAGTCGTGTGCCAAGCACAGGATAACGGTTGGATGGACGAGAGCGCTGTGCAGACCTGGCTGACCAAGGAGGTGCTGCCCCATCTCAACCCCCAGCGCGGCCAGAACGCGAAGCGGGCGATGCTGGTGTTGGACTCCTACCGAGGCCACATCACCCAGGGCATGCTCCAAGCTTACCGTACGCATAGCATCACCCCCGCAGTAATCCCAGCAGGTTGCACGAGCCAGATTCAACCCCTGGACGTCTCCATCAACCGGTGCTTCAAGGCCGCAGTGCGCGCACGCTACGCGAGGTGGTTTATGCGTGAAGGGATTCACCTGAAGACGAAGAAGGGTGAGTACAGTTTGCACGATACAACTTCATCCTTGTTAACCCTTCATGTCCTGTTACACCTTCGTGTCTCTAACGTCGTGCTGTCCCTGCCTCTGTCCCACTCTCAGGGAACCTGCGTAGGCCTCCGCACCCCGTGGTGCTGCAGTGGATTGCAGAGGCGTGGGATCAAGTCCCCAGGCAGGTCATCATTGACGCGTTCCGCCACTGTGGGATTTCAAGCAAGCTAGACGGGACGGAGAACCACCTCGTGATGTCGCACCTGCGCGCGAGGAGCACCACCGATGTCTCTGAGGACATGACTCTCGGGGGAACCACGGGCGACAACACGCGCCTGCTTGGGCAGGCTCCAGAGGAGGAGGAGGAGGAGGAGGAGGAGGAGGAGGAGGAGGAGGAGGAGGAGGAGGAGGAGGAGGAGGAGGAGGAGGAGGAGGAGGAGGAGGAGGAGGAGGAGGAGGAGGAGGCGGAGATGCAGGCGGAGGGCGTCAGGGAGGTGGCCGTGGCAACCGGCCTGGAGGTGCTGTACCAGGAGACCCCCAACTACCGCGGAGCGGCGGCTGAGGCTGACCGCATGATCGAGCCAACCCAGACGGCTAGGCATGCCTGGCGAGTGCCAGACCTGGGTGTTAGGGAGCCTGTTATTGCTGCAGATGAGGAGGCTGTGACGGAGGGGGGCTAGGTATAAGTAGAAACCCAAGAGTGCATGCATGTACCCCTGTAGAGGAACAAAGGATCGTTTAGAAGACACCCCCCATTTATAAGATAACCCCTAAACCCTTGTTCTGATTACAAGACCCTGTCTTTAAGTCGTACACACAATTGGGTGTCGTATAATAAGGAACACCTGTTTATAAGAGACACCCGTATAATAGACACCCCCTGTCTTCTATTCGACACTGTCTTATATCCGGGCGATGACGGGTAATTGGCTGTACTGAGTACCTCACTGTAGCCTAAGAGACCTAACAACATATATACCAGTATATGTTTTGACAATTTTGACAGTGTATCTTTTTGTTTACCCTAGAAGTCAGGGTAAGCCTCTATGGCACCCTGATTTTACAGGGTGGGCCAAAACCAATTTTGGGCCCTGAGGGGCATGCTAGTCTCGTAGGTGGTTATTCGATACGGTACCGCAAGAGGCTGTAGGTACACACACTGTTACTGCTTGAAAAAACTGATGCTACGACTTTGCAAAATAATCGGAAAAGAACAATTTTATACGTAATCAACAAGAAAACGAGACTAAAGGTATGCACGAATCCAGGAACATGTGTTCACACAGCTCGCTCCACACAGCTGTTAGTGAGACGACTCCAAGGAAGGCGTGTCAACCCCATCCTCTCTTGTGTCTCCCGACCGGCTGTCCACACGCCCCTCCATGCCGGCCTCTCCACTGCCCGGCCCCGCCACATCACTGTCGGCCTCCCCTTCCCCTCCCCGCTCTGCCGCTACTCTCACATTGCGCCCCTTGCGCCTCTGCTCCCCGCCACTCTCTGCTCCCTCTGCCCCCCCCGCTCCCTCTTCACCCGCTCCCTCGACACTTGCGACACCGGCCTTCCCCTCTCCCTCTTCTGCGCCACCCGTGCTGCCACTAGCAGCCGAGCGACGCCTGCCTCTCCGTGTCTTGCTGGGCCTGCCCTGCCCTGGTGCCTCACTCCCCATCTGCTGCCCCTCCTCTCCACCGTTCACCACCGCCCCTGACACACTGCTAGAGCCCATGTCCCTCCACCCCCCCAGAGAGCCACTGCCATCACTGCCTGAAGCAGCAGCAGTAGTAGTAGCATCAGCACTTGGCCTGTCACGCTCCTCATCACTGCTGCTGCTGCTGTACCCGCTCTCACTCAACTCACTCTCTGTGCCCTCACCTCCCACTCGCCCGCGCCTCCCGCCCTTCCGCACAGTCCGCCCGCCCGCTCCCCCCTGCAGGGTGGGGCCGAACGCGTTGTCGTCCGCCTCATCCCTTGCCAGCATCTCCCGCAGCTCCCTCTCCTGCTGCTCGCGTTTCTGCTGCCTCCGCTGCCCCTGCGCGCCCTCCTGTGGCTCTGCCGCCGCCGTGCCAGCCTGGGCGACGCGCGGGGAGAACGAGGAGAGGTCAGCTGAGAGGCTAGAAGGGGGGGCGGGCGAGGGCGGCGGCGGCACGGGCGGCTGCAAGCTGTCGATTGCCGTGACGATGACCTCGGGGCGGCGGCTGCTGTGGCGCTGCACCGTCTTGCGCAGCACCTGCGAGATGCTGCGCTCCACCAGCGCCAGCGACGCGTCCCTGCGCCATGGCGGCGAGCGGGGATAGATGAGCAAACAGGAGGGGAAAACGTGAGGGTGTGGGGAGGGGGGGTGGGGGGGAGGGAGGAGAGAAAGTTGAAGGCAAAGAATAGAGAGCGATGCTTGAAGAGGAGGTGAGAAGCAGCGGGCGAAGAGAGTGACAGGGAGTGGTGTCGCGGCGAAGAGAGTGACAGGGAGTGGTGTCGCGGCGAAGAGAGTGACAGGGAGTGGTGTCGCGGCGAAGAGAGTGACAGGGAGTGGTGTCGCGGCGAAGAGAGTGACAGGGAGTGGTGTTGGGGGGTGTCACCTGGAGAGGCGGTTGAGTGCGGCCATGCCAGCGCTGTGCATCATGTCTGTGAGCTTGCCACGGTCCACCCACAGGCAGCGCGTGCGGATCTGCAGGCGCCCGTGCAGCCCACGCGGGGCGCTGTCGCCCTCATCGCCCTCATCGGCGTCTGTGAACGCCTCCAGCACCTCCTCTCCTGGCGGCTCACGAAACACCTCCACCCTGGGGGAGGGGAGGGGGGGAGGGGGCAGGGGGGCAGCGGATAGATAGAGGAATAGGGGGCAGGAGGCGAAACATGGATTTGGAGGGTTGGGTGTTATTGGCCTCAGGAGTGGTGAGGAAGCTTGTGGAACAGCAGAATGCAATGACTTGATGGCACTCTCTCTCCCAGTGATGACCAGTGGTAACAAGCAGTGAAACACACACGAGGCCGTGGTGGCAATGCGTGCTCACGTGGCGATGACGATGCCCTCGGTGGCCACGTGCATCCTTTCCCCCACCGCCATCTCCCGCGCGTTGCCAAACGCTATGCCCCCGTCGTTGTACATCGTCTGGTGGGGGGACGGGCGAGGGAGAAGGCACACACCATTTGGGGGGTGGAGAGCACATGGGAGAGGCAAGGAGCACATGGGAGAGGCAAGGAGCACATGGGAGAGGCAAGGAGCACATGGGAGAGGCAAGGAGCACATGGCCTGGTGTGGGGCAATCCCGTGTGGAGTGCACGGGGCAAGTGGCAGTGTGCAGCTGTGCCAGAATCGTACCAGTGAGTGTGCATGACATGAGAGACAGAGTACTCAAGGCAGTGCCTGCGCCAAGGGCAAGAGTGCCATGCACGGCTTCCCCCGCGTGGATTCCACCTCTCATGCTCACATGGCGTTACAGCATCATTTGAGCTCCTCATGCTCTCACCACCCTCAAATGCTCTCACCTCCCTCAAATGCTCTCACCACCCTCAAATGCTCTCACCACCCTCACATGCTCTCACCTCGAGGTGGATGCGCGGTTGGTGGTAGAAGCCTCACCTCGAGGTGGATGCGCGGTTGGTGGTAGAAGCCTCACCTCGAGGTGGATGCGCGGTTGGTGGTAGAAGCCGTTTGACACCACCTTGGCGTTGCGCAGCGGCGCCACTCCCACCATCTCCCCGTTGCTGATCACCTGCTGGGGGGAAGACAGCCGGCAGGGGAGATAAGAGGGAAGGGGCGAGGAAGTGGAAGAGGAGGTACGAGCAGAAGAGGACGCACAAGTCAGAATGAGGTGGGTGCAAGGAGCAAATACAGTGCCCAATTCATAGCCTACAGTGCCCTGGGGCATCCTGCGTTTCCCTACTGAGTGCACGCCAACTCTTCTACATGCCACCATGACCACTACAAGCCACCATGACCACTACAAGCCACCATCAAGTGTGAAGGCATTGGGGTGCAAAGCTGGCACCGACTGCATTCCCCTGCACACACGCAAGGAGGCTGGGCGCACCGTGGTGTGGCGGATGCCCTGGCGCTGGGCGAGCAGCTCGTGCTCCTTCAAGAAGGCGTACTCGCCGTGCACCGGCAGGAAGTGCTGCGGCTGCACCAGCCGAATCACCTCCTGCTGCTCCTCGCTGTATGCGTGCCCCGACGTGTGCAGCCCGTGCTGCCGCCCCTGCAGGATGCGCGGCCCCTGCAGGGCGATGCGGTTCATCATCTTCACCACGCGCGTCTCGTTGCCCGGGATCATCTGCCGTGGGAGGGTGATGGCGTGGAGGAGAGCAGCGAGGGGGATGTACAGGGGGTTGAAGAGAGGGGGGAAGGTGTGTGAGAGAGGGAAGCACGCAGTATCGAATGCAAGTTTTCCGCATGTATCGTCGAGCCAGACTGTCGAAATGAACTGCTTCGGAGTTTGGTTTGTTTAGGTGGAACTGAAACAATTCAGTTTGAACCAGGGCAAATAACATCGAACCACGCTGAGATCTTTTGCATAGTTCCAACCCCAGAAGTGGCATGGCAGGGGGCAAAGAGTGACCTTAGCGGAGTAGAGCACGGTGTCGTCGGCGTTGAGCTGCAGCATCTTGCTCGTGCCGTACGACGCCAGGTTCAATGCTGCCCGCGGCTCTCCCTGCCACCCACACAGCGACACACACACAGCGACACACACACAAATGCACCGCATATGCAAAGTCATGCAGAGAGTTGAAGGGTGGTGCAAATCGAGCAGCATGGGCGAGAAGAAGAGAGCAGTAAGAGTACCACACTCATGCTCTCGCGCCCAAATGCAAATGGAGCAGCATGGGCGCCCAAATGCTGAGTATCCTAGACAGTAAGCGTCGCTGCTCGCGGGAACACAAAGGAGGTGGCATGGCATGGCGTGTACCTGGGAGCCCGTGGTGACGATGAGCAGGTCACGCGGGGAGAAGGCACTCATGTCCTCCGCCTTGAGCTGCTCACATGCACGCACACAGGCGCGTGTGCACGCCCACACACGCACGTCAACACACAGGTGTGAGGGCCAGGCGAGTGAATGCAGGCTTGCTGGTGCAAGGCAGATATGGGCGTCAGCGTGGGATGCAGGGAGGGAGGAAGGGATAGAAGCAAGCACGGCATGGGGTGCATGAGTTGAGCATACCAGCACGGAGGGATCGAAGGGCGCCTGGCCGTCACGGAATGCAGCATCGAGGTACGTGCGGAGCGACATGCCCAGGAAGACCTGAAGGCAGTGGAAGGGCAGTGGAAGGGCAGTGGAAGGAGGGCAGTGCAAGGGCGGTGGAAGGGCAGTGGAAGGGCAGTGGAAGGGCGGCAGGGAGGTATTGTAGAAGGTGGAGCAAGAGAGCATGGCAAAATGGAGCAGTGCAGAGGCAAGCAGAGCAGGGGGAGCAGAGCGGAGAAGAGAACTGACGAGGCGGCGGCCAGCAGCGTCAGCGGCGGCCTTGACGGCACCGAGGCGGTGCACGTTGGAGGCGAACTGAGTGGTGATGACACGCCCCTTGGCTGATAGCACCGCCTCCATCAGCGCCGATGCCACGTTGCTCTCCGACGTGGTGCGCCCCGGTGCCAGGCTGTTGGTGCTGTCACTCATCATCTAAGCACATGGGGGAGGGCAGCGACAGCAAACATGGACGCGTGAGTGGTGGCTCAGCGACAGTGTGAGCGAGGGCTTGT